TTAATGTAACGAACCTGACTGGAATTCGATCTCGAATCGTCGATTTCTCATTAAGAGCCGGTATCTAATACACCGCGCGTTTGATTCGTTTTCTACGGCTTATCAACCCTTTGCAGTGTATTTAAAGCCATACACTATTTTAGATTGTAACAGGGGTTTTTTTTTTTGGGGGGGGGGTAATTATAATTTAGTGATGTGTTTTTCTAATTAACCCATAGCTGGGAGGAGAAGAGGTGGATTCAGACCTTCTGCAAGGTTATTTGCGAGAATTGGAGACCTAAATGCCAATCGAGTAGCATGCTGAACATTCATGTAGTCAAGACACCGAGGGAAAAAAGCTCATCAGAACAGTTTCCATGAAAATATTTGTATAAAAGAGAGGGAATTATATATATATATATATATATATATATGTGTGTGTGTGTGTGTGTGTGTGTGTGTGTGTGTGTGTGTGTGTGTGTGTGTGTGTGAAAAGTGTGTGTATATAAATATAAATAAATATATATATATAATTATTTATATATTATATATGATACTTATTAAAAGCGCTCAATATCAGAGATAGAGCTAACATATTTGGTTATATTGATGTGAGTTTGTGACCCTGCACAAAAGCGTGAAACCCAGGGTCACAAACTCATATCAATCAACCAAATATATATATATATATATATATATATATATATATATATATATATATATATATATATTTCTTGGACTCTCCCCGTTGTACATCGACGCGGGCCGTTGACCCGCGCCTATCAGTGATCCTACGCACGGCTAGGCGGCGGAAGGAAGCGAGAACTCCCCGCTGGACCGACGTATGAGGGTCAAGCTGCTCAGTTCCTAGGAATCGACAACCAGACAACCTGCTCATATGATTTCATTATTGTGGTGAAGTTTTTGTGCAGAACCAACCACACTTTTTGAAGAGCCGAATACAGAGACCTGGTTCAGCGTGTGCCGCAAATGCCCCTACTTATGTTTTGAATTCAGAGTTGTCTTTCTTTTATATGTGGACATTGAAGTCAACACCTAGATGCGACAGTCTGTTTCATGCTAAACGCAATCGTCAGGCCATGTGCGTTGTGTTTTTGATCGAATATTTATATATACAACTCAGTGATGCATTGATGGTAACCTATTTAATTGCACTGTGGGTAGTCTATTATATAACTGGTACGATGAGCGGTATCTGTTGCATTTCGAAATAGTTTAAGGGCTTATTGAGTGGGAATAATTGTGGATCTGAATGCAGTTTTGGGACTATTAATAGTGTTGTGAGTTTTTTTATTTATTGATTATTTTATTTATTTTTATTCATTGATTATTTTCTTGTTGGTTATTATTACTACTTTTATATTTACATACGCTCTATTCATGATAACCCGTTAATATAACATACCTTAAAACTTATTTTATCTCACACACACACACACATACACACATATATATAGTGCGATGGATAAATTGTCGTCTAAATTATGCAAAAATGAAAATAACACTGACATTTTAACAGATATATTTACTTGAATTACTAAAGCGTAAATTTATTCAATAAAATCCCCGTTTGCTTCAATCACAGCCTTCACACAACTTCATACACTGCATCTTTTCTCGGTGGTCTCCTTGTATAAGTTGAATGCTGTCATAAGCCTTGTAGCATCCTTCTTCGTTACAAGTGTGTTGAAATCTGGGTAGTTAGGTAGCCAGGGGCAAGGCTATGACCCGGTTCGCCTACTTGTGCGGCATAGTACAGTGTCCTGTTGCCAGACATAGCGGCTTCCAGAAGCCACCGTTCGGTCCAGGGAAGTACTACCTCCTCATTTAGTGAGTCTGATGTCCTCATCAACAAATTCGGATTACGAGAATGATCCAACCACCATTAGACTCACCCAGAGAGAGTTTTCCAATCACCATTAGATTTACCTTTCTGAATCCTCTGCACTGTCCTCAGATTGACATCCAAACACCCTGAAATTATTTACATTGTTCGGAATATTGTCCTCATCTTTGTCGCCATATATATTACAACGTTTCGGCCGTTGTATGCTCCGACCTTTTTCAGGTGCTTGGAATGTCCCTTTATTTCGCTCACTAGGGTAGACTGTTCTAGTTCCAGTTCTCGTTAATGAATGTCAGTTATCATTTATCTCTTGTTAATTTCCCTCTGAAAGTTATCCACTGCCTTAACCGGGTCTTGAACTCACACTCTTTGGGTCCTGTCACCGGATCTAACTAACGCCTTTATCCACTTTATGTCCCGGTGTATGAATTTCTGGGTATTATAAACCAGCAACCATTTTTACCAGAGCTCATATTGCAATTTTTGCTGTTATCATTCCATGTATTTACTAGAGCTCATATTGCAACTTTTGTTGTTATTATTGTTTTTCTCTGGCACTCCTTATTACTGGTTCCCATATCGTGTTCATTTCTATTCTTGGTCGGCTCAGGAGATTTTTGTGGCCTAGCATATGTGCTGATTCCTTAAGTTTACGAATTTTCCAATGGTGTTCTTTTTCTATGACCTGAACCTTATCCCACAGAGGGCGGTTATCTCCCTTCTCTCTCCATATGTGATCAGCCACGCCTAATTTTCCACTTCCCCTCGTGTTAAAGCTTTCTGGTGTTCTTGAAGCCTTACCTTAAGGGGGCAGCCTGTTTCCCCTTTATATTTCTTTCCTCAGCTCCTGAAATGTTTGTAGTGAAGAATCCGGCGCGAATGCCAAGCAGTACAGCATGCCGTTTCCAAATTTCTGACAGAGTGAATTGCGTTAGCTTTTTCTCACAGGCGGTGGCCAACTTACCCTACAATACTGTTAAGTCGACAAAATAAAAATTTTAACAACGCGCATGCGCGAAATTAGAAATATAAAATTGTAACAATTTACCCATTGCACACTGTATATATATATATATCGATAGATAAATAGAAAGAAAGAAAGAAATATAGATAGATAGATAGAGAGAGAGAGAGAGAAAGAAAGATAGTCTCTGAATTATATGATAAAATCGATATACCTTTATATTGTGTAATGTTATATTTATATATATATATATATCTTAATTCATATTTAGCCGATTCCTTATAAGGAAGCATTTGACCTTCACTGCCTGAGCAAAGAGTTTTCCCAAGTCCAGGCGCACTTTCCAGAACGGATGAAGGTTTTCTTCCTAACCTTTTTGTTCTAAATCCTGCGAAACAGCATCAAGATGATTATATCCATATATTTTCTTCATATTGCGTTTGCTATCCATTTTAGTTGTTGCTGATCTTGGTAGTCCACAAGCAATTTGAACATTTCTTTTTCGTTTTTCACTCTGCATTTTGTCTTCTTTGCCTTTATGTAAATGTGCTCATTTCGCAATCGAATTGCAGCAGACACTTGTAAACAAGCCGTGTTAAGGTGGCTGACATTAATATTTGTAATTAGCGCTAACAGCTGAACTTCTAAACATGTAAGATTACAGAAAAAATTAAAAAATGGGATTTTGTAGCGTCAGACCATGAGGCTTGATGAAAGACAGTCCTCGATAAGACCTGCCGACTTGAGAAAAAAAACCCGCATACCCGCAACTTCTAACTTCATTTTCCATTTTCATATTTTAGCATATATTCGTCCTTTCAAAACATGCCCAGAAATTTTTTTATTTTTTTTATTTCGGATCTTTGGTTTTATAAAAATATTTCGCTCTACGTTTTATTGAACGCTTTAAAAAATGCTAAGAACTGTGGATTCTTAATCTGTGCGTTCTTTCTCTTTATTTGAGTAGATAGATAGATAGATAGATAGATAGATAGATAGATAGATAGATAGAACACGAACAGAGATAGATAGATAGATAGATAGATAGATAGATAGATAGATAGATAGATAGATAGATAGATAGATAGACATGAATGAGTTTAACACAGATAGATAGATAGATAGATATGAATGATTTTGACATAGATAGATAGATAGATAGATAGATAGATAGATAGATAGATAGACATGAATGAGTTTGATAGATAGATAGATAGATAGATAGATAGATAGATAGACATGAATGAGTTTGACAGATAGATAGATAGATAGATAGATAGATAGTATATGAATTATGTGATATAACTTATATACCTTTATATTGTGTAATGTTATATTTATATACAGTATATCTATATGGTTTTGTATGGCAGGAGAATGAGGGAGATTTACTGTATCAATTTGAACAGTGTTTAACAAGAAAGCCGCGCTCGAGAAACATGTCGTGTATTCGAGAAAGGATCTCGTACTTAGCCGCGTTTATTTTAATTCCTGCCAACGAAGTGCCATATTTTTCTCTTTCCCGTTTTTTTTTATATCTTCTCGCACACGATTTGCCCAACTGAAAACAACAAAATATTTTTTTTTTCTTTTTCGTTTTTCACTCTGCATTTTGTCTTCTTTGCCTTTATGTAAATGTGCTCATTTCGCAATCGAATTGCAGCAGACACTTGTAAACAAGTCGTGTTAAGGTGGCTGACATTAATATTTGTAATTAGCGCTAACAGCTGAACTTCTAAACATGTAAGATTACAGAAAAAATTAAAAAAAGAAAATACATTCAGAAATCTCATGTTCCGCCTGATAGCTAACTAGTTCGACTTCTGTGATTTTTATTCATCCTTCTTACCTACTTGGATTTTACAAGTATATTTCTTATTTCATGAGAGAATTTATTTAAAGCTATGACTATATTTCTGAGATGAGGTATTGTAACTATTTATACTATTTACATTTTTATTGTCATTTTCACGACGTTTCCGGCCTTCTCCGAGTGTTATACGTTGGAATTTCCAGAAAATGAAACTCTTCATTGCCACAGTTAACATTGTTACCCCAACGAAGCAATGAAGAAAGTTTTACTGGCGTCTTCTTTCATGACATGTGTCCCCTTTCAGGTGTCTTCTTACAGTTGTCTTCTTTGAGGTGTCTTCGTAAATCAGTTGTGTCTTCTCTCAGGTGTCTTCTTTCATGACCCGTGTCTTCTTTCATGAGCTGTGTCTTCTTTCAGGTGTTTTCTTTCATGAGCTCTGTCTTCTTTCAGGTGTCTTCTTTCATGAGATGTGTCTTCTTTCAGGTGTTTTCTTTCATGAGATGCGTCTTCTTTCAGGTGTCATCTTTCAGGTGTCTTCTTTCATGACCCGCGTCTTCTTTCATGAGCTGTGTCTTCTTTCAGGTGTTTTCTTTCATGAGATGCGTCTTCTTTCAGGTGTCATCTTTCAGGTGTCTTCTTTCATGACCCGTGTCTTCTTTCATGAGCTGTGTCTTCTTTCAGGTGTTTTCTTTCATGAGATGCGTCTTCTTTCAGGTGTCATCTTTCAGGTGTCTTCTTTCATGACCCGCGTCTTCTTTCATGAGCTGTGTCTTCTTTCAGGTGTTTTTTCTTTCATGAGATGCGTCTTCTTTCAGGTGTCATCTTTTTCAGGTGTCTTCTTTCATGACCCGCGTCTTCATTCATGTGTCTTCTTTCAGGTGTTTTTCTTTCATGAGCTCTGTCTTCTTTCAGGTGTCTTCTTTCATGACCCGTGTCTTCTTTCATGAGCTGTGTCTTCTTTCAGGTGTTTTCTTTGTCTTCATGAGATATGTCTTCTTTCAGGTGTCTTCTTTCATTCAGCTGTGTCTTCTTTCAGGTGTTTTTCTTTCATGAGATGCGTCTTCTTTCAGGTGTCATCTTTCAGGTGTCTTCTTTCATGACCCGCGTCTTCTTTCATGAGCTGTGTCTTCTTTCAGGTGTTTTCTTTCATGAGATGCGTCTTCTTTCAGGTGTCATCTTTCAGGTGTCTTCTTTCATGACCCGCGTCTTCTTTCATGAGCTGTGTCTTCTTTCAGGTGTTTTCTTTCATGAGATGCGTCTTCTTTCAGGTGTCATCTTTGAGGTGTCTTCTTTCATGACCCGCGTCTTCTTTCATTTTCTTTCATGAGCTGTGTCTTTCTTTCAGGTGTTTTTCTTTCATGAGATGCGTCTTCTTTCAGGTGTCATCTTTCAGGTGTCTTCTTTTCATGACCCACTGTCTTCTTTCTTTCATGAGCTGTGTCTTCTTTCAGGTGTTTTTTCTTTCATGAGCTCTGTCTTCTTTCAGGTGTCTTCTTTCATGACCCGTGTCTTCTTTCATGAGCTGTGTCTTCTTTCAGGTGTTTTCTTTCATGAGATATGTCTTCTTTCAGGTGTTTTCTTTCATGAGATGCGTCTTCTTTCAGGTGTCATCATTCAGGTGTCTTCTTTCATGACCCGGGTCTTCTTTCATGAGCTCTGTCTTCTTTCAGGTGTCTTCTTTCATGACCCGTGTCTTCTTTCATGAGCTGTGTCTTCTTTCAGGTGTTTTCTTTTCCCCGTGTCTTCTTGAGCTGTGTCTTCTTTCAGGTGTTTTCTTTCATGAGATGTCATCTTCTTTTTCAGGCTGTGTCATCTTTCAGGTGTCTTCTTTCATGACCCGCGTCTTCTTTCATGAGCTGTGTCTTCTTTCAGGTGTTTTATTTCATGAGCTGTGTCTTCTTTCAGGAGTCTTCTTTCATGACCCGTGTCTTCTTTCATCTTTCATGAGCTGTGTCTTCTTTCAGGTGTTTTCTTTCATGAGATATGTCTTCTTTCAGGTGTTTTCTTTCATGAGCTGTGTCTTCTTTCAGGTGTTTTCTTTCATGAGATGCGTCTTCTTTCAGGTGTCATCTTTCAGGTGTCTTCTTTCATGACCCGCGTCTTCTTTCATGAGCTGTGTCTTCTTTCAGGTGTTTTCTTTCATGAGCTCTGTCTTCTTTCAGGTGTCTTCTTTCATGACCCGTGTCTTCTTTCATGAGCTGTGTCTTCTTTCAGGTGTTTTCTTTCATGAGATATGTCTTCTTTCAGGTGTTTTCTTTCATGAGCTGTGTCTTCTTTCAGGTGTTTTCTTTCATGAGATGCGTCTTCTTTCAGGTGTCATCTTTCAGGTGTCTTCTTTCATGACCCGCGTCTTCTTTCATGAGCTGTGTCTTCTTTCAGGTGTTTTCTTTCATGAGATGCGTCTTCTTTCAGGTGTCATCTTTCAGGTGTCTTCTTCTTTCATGACCTTTCATGAGTCTTCTTTCATGAGCTGTGTCTTCTTTCAGGTGTTTTCTTTCATGAGATATGTCTTCTTTCAGGTGTCTTCTTTCTTTCATCTTTCATGACCTTTCATGTGTCTTCTTTCATGAGCTGTGTCTTCTTTCAGGTCTTTCAGGTTTTTCTTTCATGAGATATGTGTCTTCTTTCATGTGTGTCTTCTTTTTCATGAGCTCTGTCTTCTTTCAGGTGTTTTCTTTCATGGATATGTCTTCTTTCTTCTTTTTCATGAGCTGTGTCTTCTTTCAGGTGTTTTCTTTCATGAGATGCGTCTTCTTTCAAGGTGTCTTCTTTCATGACCCGTGTCTTCTTCATTTGTCTTCTTTCAGGTGTTTTCTTTCATGAGATATGTCTTCTTCTTTCTTTCATGGCTGTGTCTTCTTTCAGGTGTTTTCTTTCATGAGATCTCTTCTTTCTTCTCTTTCAGGTGTCTTCTTTCATGACCCGTGTCTTCTTTCATGAGCTGTGTCTTCTTTCAGGTGTTTTTCAGGTGTTTTTTCTTTCATGAGATATGTCTTCTTTCAGGTGTTTTCTTTCTCTTCTTTCATGAGCTGTGTCTTCTTTCAGGTGTTTTCTTTCATGAGTGCGTCTTCTTTCAGGTGTCATCTTTCAGGTGTCTTCTTTCATGACCCCGCGTCTTCTTTCGCAGCTGTCTTCTTTCTTTTTCTTTCATGAGTGTTTTCTTTCAGGTGTCATATGTCTTCTTTCAGGTCTTCTTTCATGTGTGTCTTCTTTCAGGTGTTTTCTTTCATAGCTCTGTCTCTTTCAGTCTTTTTCTTTCTTCTTTCATGAGCTGTGTCTTCTTTCAGGTTTTTTTTCATGTTTTTCTTTCATGTCATTTTCAGGTGTCTTCTTTCATGACCCGTGTCTTCTTTCATGCGTCTTCTTCAGGTGTTTTCTTTTCATGAGCTGTGTCTTCTTTCAGGTGTTTTCTTTCTTTCATGATGCGTCTTCTTTCAGGTGTCATCTTTCAGGTGTCTTCTTTCATGTGCGTCTTCTTTCATGAGCTGTGTCTTCTTTCAGGTGTTTTCTTTCATGAGATGCGTCTTCTTGTCTTCTTTCAGGTGTCTTCTTTCATGGCTGTTCTTCTTTTTCTTTCATGAGCTGTGTCTTCTTTCAGGTGTTTTCTTTCATGAGATGCGTCTTCTTTCATCTTTCAGGTGTCTTCTTTCATCTTTTTCAGGTGTCTTCTTTCATGACCCTGTCTTCTTTCTTTTCTTTCATGAGCTTCTTTCATGAGCTGTCTTCTTTCAGGTGTTTTTTCTTTCATGAATATGTCTTCTCAGGTGTTTTCTTTTTCATATGTCTTCTTTCAGGTGTTTTCTTTCATGAGATGCGTCTTCTTTCAGGTGTCATCTTTCAGGTGTCTTCTTTCATGAGCCTTCTTTCAGCGTCTTCTTTCATGTCTTCTTTCATGACTGTGTCTTCTTTCAGGTGTTTTCTTTCATGAGACTCTTCTTTCTTTCAGGTCTTCTTTCAGGTGTCATCTTTCAGGTGTCTTCTTTTTTTTTCTTTCATGAGCTGCGTCTTCTTTCAGGTGTTTTCTTTCATGAGTCTTCTTTCATACAGGTGCATCTTCTTTCTTTTCTTTCATGAGGTGTTTTTCTTTCATGAGATGCGTCTTCTTTCAGGTGTCATCTTTCAGGTGTCTTCTTTCATGACCCGCGTCTTCTTTCATGTGTCTTCTTTCAGGTGTTTTTCTTTCATGAATGTCTTCTTTCAGGTGTTTTCTTTCATCATGTCTTGGGCTAGGTGTCTTCTTTCATGACCCATGTCTTCTTTCAGGTGTCTTCTTTTTCAGGTGACCTTTCAGGTGTCTTCTTTCATGAGCTTCTTTCGTGTCTTCTTTCAGGTGTTTTCTTTCATGAGATGCGTCTTCTTTCAAGTCTTCTTTCAGGTGTCTTCTTTCATGACCCGTGTCTTCTTTCATGAGCTGTGTCTTCTTTCAGGTGTTTTCTTTCATGAGATATGTCTTCTTTCAGGTGTCTTCTTTCTTTCTTTCATGAGATGCGTCTTCTTTCAGGTGTCATCTTTCAGGTGTCTTCTTTCATGACCCGTCTTCTTTCTTCTTCTTTCAGGTCTTTTTCATGAGCTGTCTTCTTTCAGGTGTCTTCTTCTTCTTTCAGGTGTCTTTCTTCTTTCAGCTTGTCTTTTCATGACCCAGTGTCTTCTTTCATGAGCTGTGTCTTCTTTTTCAGGTGTTTTCTTTCATGAGATATGTCTTCTTTCAGGTGTGTTTTCTTTCTTTCATGAGCTGTGTCTTCTTTCAGGTGTTTTCTTTCATGAGATGCGTCTTCTTTCAGGTGTCATCTTTCAGGTTCATCTCTTCTTTCATGACCTTCTTTCGTCTTTTCTTTCATGAGATGTGTCTTCTTTCAGGTGTTTTCTTTTCATGAGCTCTGTCTTCTTTCAGGTGGCTTCTTTCATTCAGTGTGTTTTCTTTCATGAGCTGTGTCTTCTTTCAGGTGTTTTCTTTCATGACCCGTGTCTTCTTTCAGGTGTTTTCTTTCATGAGCTGTGTCTTCTTTCAGGTGTTTTCTTTCATGAGATGCGTCTTCTTTCAGGTGTCATCTTTCAGGTGTCTTCTTTCATGACCCCGCGTCTTCTTTCATGGCTGTGTCTTCTTTCAGGTGTTTTCTTTCATTTCTTCTTTCTTGTCTTCTTTCATGCTCTGTCTTCTTTCAGGTGTCTTCTTTCATGACCCGTGTCTTCTTTCATGAGCTGTGTCTTCTTTCAGTTGTTTTCTTTCATGAGATATGTCTTCTTTCAGGTGTTTTTCTTTCATGAGCTCTGTCTTCTTTCATGAGCTTCTTCTTTCAGGTGTTTTCTTTCATGAGATATGTCTTCTTTCTTTTTCAGGTGTGTCTTCTTTCAGGTGTCTTCTTTCATGACCCTTTCGTCTTCTTTCATGAGCTGTGTCTTCTTTCAGGTGTTTTCTTTCATGAGATGCGTCTTCTTTCAGGTGTCATCTTTCAGGTGTCTTCTTTCATGACCCGCGTCTTCTTTCATGAGCTGTGTCTTCTTTCAGTTGTTTTCTTTCATGAGATATGTCTTCTTTCAGGTGTCTTCTTTCATGACCTGTGTCTTCTTTCTTTTTCTTTCATGAGGATGTGTCTTCTTTCAGGTGTTTTTCTTTCATGAGCTCTGTCTTCTTTCAGGTGTCTTCTTTCATGACCCATGTCTTCTTTCATGAGCTATGTCTTCTTTCAGGTGTTTTCTTTCATGAGTGTCTTCTTTCCAGGTGTTTTCTTTCATGAGATGCGTCTTCTTTCAGGTGTCATCTTTTCAGGTGTCTTCTTTCATGACCCGTGTCTTCTTTCATGACTCTGTCTTCTTTCAGGTGTTTTTCTTTCATGAGATGCGTCTATCTTCTTTCAGGTGTCTTCTTTCATGACCTGTGTCTTCTTTCTTTTCATGAGCTGTGTCTTCTTTCAGGTGTTTTCTTTCATGAGATATGTCTTCTTTCAGGTGTTTCTTCTTTCATTTCTTCTTTCATGAGCTGTGTCTTCTTTCAGGTGTTTTCTTTCATGAGATGCGTCTTCTTTCAGGTGTCTTCTTTCAGGTGTCTTCTTTCATGACCCGCGTCTTCTTTCATGAGCTGTGTCTTCTTTCAGGTGTTTTCTTTCTTTCATGAAATTTCAGGTGTCTTCTTTCAGGTGTCATCTTTCAGGTGTCTTCTTTCATGACCCGCGTCTTCTTCTTTCATGAGCTGTGTCTTCTTTCAGGTGTTTTTCTTTCATGAGATATGTCTTCTTTCAGGTGTCTTCTTTCAGCTGTGTCTTCTTTCATGACCTTTCATGTCTTCTTTCTTTCATGAGCTGTGTCTTCTTTCAGGTGTTTTCTTTCTTTCATGAGTCTGTCATCTTTCAGGTGTCTTCTTTCAGGTGTGTCTTCTTTCATGAGCTGTGTCTTCTTTCAGGTGTTTTCTTTCATGACCTTCTTTCAGTGTCTTCTTTCAGGTGTCTTCTTTCATGCCCGTGTCTTCTTTCATGAGTGTGTCTTCTTTCAGGTGTTTTCTTTCATGAGATATGTCTTCTTTCAGGTGTTTTCTTTCCAGGTGTCTTCTTTCATGACCCGATCTTCTTTCATGTGTGTCTTCTTTCAGGTGTTTTTTCTTTCATTTCAGCTCTGTCTTCTTTCAGGTGTTTCTTCTTTCTTCTTTCACCGTGTCATCTTTCAGGTGTCTTCTTTTCATGAGCTCTTCTTTCATGTCTTCTTTCAGGTGTTTTTTTTTCATGAGATATGTCTTCTTTCAGGTGTTTTTCTTTCATGGCTTCTTTCAGTCTTCTTTCAGGTGTCTTCTTTCATGTCTTCTTTCAGGTGTCTTCTTTCAGGTGTGTTTCTTTCATAGCTCTGTCTTCTTTTCTTTCATGAGCTGTGTCTTCTTTCAGGTGCTGTTTCTTTCATGAGATGTTTCGTCTTCTTTCATCTTTCCGGTGTCTTCTTTCATGAGCTGTGTCTTCTTTCAGGTGTTTTTCTTTCATGAGATGCGTCTTCTTTCAGGTGTCATCTTTCATGACCCGTGTCTTCTTTCATGACCCGTTGTTTTCTTTCATGAGCTGTGTCTTCTTTCAGGTGTTTTCTTTCATGAGATGTGTCTTCTTTCAGGTGTTTTTCTTTTCATGAGATGTGTCTTCTTTCAGGTGTTTTCAGGTGTTTTCTTTCATGATGCGTCTTCTTTCATGAGGTGTCTTCTTTCAGGTGTTTTCTTTCATGAGCTTCTTTCAGTGTCTTCTTTCAGGTGTTTTCTTTCATGAGTTTTCTTTCATGCGTCTTCTTTCAGGTGTTTTCTTTTCGCCGAGCTCTCTTTTTCAGGTGTCTTCTTTCATGACCCGTGTCTTCTTTCATGAGCTGTGTCTTTCTTTTTTCTTTCATGAGATGTGTCTTCTTTCAGGTGTTTTCTTTCATGAGCTCTGTCTTCTTTCAGGTGTCTTCTTCTTCTTTCATGGTGTCTTCTTTCATTGTGTCTTCTTTCAGGTGTTTTCTTTCATGAGATGCGTCTTCTTTCAGGTCATCTTTCATCTTCTTTCAGGTGTCTTCTTTCATGACTTCTTTCAGGGTCTTCTTTCAGGTGTCTTCTTTCTTTCTTCTTTCATCTGTGTCTTCTTTCAGGTGTTTTTCTTTCATGAGTCTTCTTTCTGTTTCTTTTCTTTCAGGTGTCTTCTTTCAGGTGTCTTCTTTCATGACCCGTGTCTTCTTTCATGAGCTGTGTCTTCTTTCAGGTGTTTTCTTTTCATGAGATCTGTCTTCTTTCAGGTGTCTTTTCTTTTTCATGACCCGTGTCTTCTTTCATGAGCTGTGTCTTCTTTCAGGTGTTTTTCTTTCATGAGATATGTCTTCTTTCAGGTGTCATCTTTCATGAGGTGTCTTCTTTCATGACCCGTGTCTTCTTTCAGGCTGTGTCTTCTTTCAGGTGTTTTCTTTCAGATGCGTCTTCTTTCAGGTGTCATCTTTCAGGTGTCTTCTTTCATGACCCGTCTTCTCTTCTTCTTTCAGGTGTTTTCTTTCGCGAGCTGTGTCTTCTTTCAGGTGTTTTTCTTTCATGAGCTCTGTCTTCTTTCAGGTGTCTTCTTTCATGACCCGTGTCTTCTTTCAGGTGTCTTCTTTCAGGTGTCTTCTTTCATGAGCTTCTTCTGTTTTTCTTCTTCTTTCAGGTGTTTCTTTCTTTCATTCAGATATGTCTTCTTTCAGGTGTCTTCTTTCATGAGCTATGTCTTCTTTCAGTGTTTTCTTTCATGAGCTCTTCTTCTTTCAGTGTCTTCTTTCAGGTGTTTTCTTTCATGAGATATGTCTTCTTTCAGGTGTTTTCTTTCATGAGATTGTCTTTTTTTGTCTTCTTCTTTCAGGGGTCATCTTTCAGGTGTCTTCTTTTCATGACCCGTGTCTTCTTTCTTGAGCTGTGTCTTCTTTCAGGTGTTTTTTCTTTCATGAGATGTGTCTTCTTTCAGGTGTCATCTTTCAGGTGTCTTCTTTCATGACCCGCGTCTTCTTTTCATGAGCTGTGTCTTCTTTCAGGTGTTTTCTTTCATGAGCTCTGTCTTCTTTCAGGTGTCTTCTTTCATGACCCGTGTCTTCTTTCATGAGCTGTGTCTTCTTTCAGGTGTTTTCTTTCATGAGATATGTCTTCTTTCAGGTGTTTTCTTTCATGAGCTCTGTCTTCTTTCAGGTGTCTTCTTTCATGACCCGTGTCTTCTTTCATGAGCTGTGTCTTCTTTCAGGTGTTTTCTTTCTTTCAGATATGTCTTCTTTCAGGTGTTTTCTTTCATGGCTCTGTCTTCTTTCATGGTGTCATCTTTTTCAGGGTGTCTTTCTTTCATGACCCAGTGTCTTCTTTCATGTTTTCTTTCTGTGTCTTCTTTCAGGTGTTTTCTTTCATGAGATGTGTCTTCTTTCTTTCAGGTGTCTTCTTTCATTGTCTTCTTTCATGAGCTGTGTCTTCTTTCAGGTGGGTCTTTCTTTCATGGTGTGTCTTCTTTCAGGGGTCTTCTTTCATGGTGTGTCTTCTTTCATGTTTCCCAGATATGTCTTCTTTCATGGGTGTCTTCTTTCAGGTGTTTCTTTCAGCTGTGTCTTCTTTCAGGTGTTTTCTTTCATGAGATGCGTGTTCTTTCTTTCTTTCAGGTGTCTTCTTTCATGACCCGTGTCTTCTTTCATGAGCTGTGTCTTCTTTCATGTGTTTTTTTTCTCTTTCATGTCTTCTTTCCAGGTGTCTTCTTTCATTTCTTTCAGGTTGTTCTTTCATGAGCTATGTCTTCTTTCAGGTGTTTTCTTTCATGAGATGTGTCTTCTTTCAGGTGTCTTCTTTCATGAGTCTTCTTTCATGAGCTGTTTCTTTCAGGTGTTTTCTTTCATGAGCTGTGTCTTCTTTCAGGTGTCTTCTTTCATGAGGCTGTGTCTTCTTTCAGGTGTTTTCTTTCATGAGCTGTGTCTTCTTTCAGGTGTTCTTCTTTCAGGTGTTTTCTTTCATGAGATGCGTCTTCTTTTTCAGGTGTCATCTTTCAGGTGTCTTCTTTCATGACCCGTGTCTTCTTTCATGAGCTGTGTCTTCTTTCAGGTGTTTTCTTTCGCAGGCTGTCTTCTTTTCTTTTCAGGTGTCTTCTTTCATTTCATAGATGTCCTTTCAGTGTCTTCTTTCATGAGCTCTGTCTTCTTTCAGGTGTTTTCTTTCATGACCCATGTCTTCTTTCTGTTCTTTCATGTGTTTTCTTTCATGAGCTGTGTCTTCTTTCAGGTGTTTTCTTTCATGAGATGCGTCTTCTTTCAGGTGTCATCTTTCAGGTGTCTTCTTTCATGACCCGTCTTCTTTCATGAGCTGTGTCTTCTTTCAGGTGTTTTCTTTCATGAGAGCTCTGTCTTCTTTCAGGTGTCTTTCTTTTCTTTCATGGCTATGTCTTCTTTCATGTGTTTTCTTTGTCTTCTTTCAGGTGTTTTTCTTTCATGAGATATGTCTTCTTTTCTTTCAGGTGTTTCTTTCTTTCTTCTTTCATGAGTGTGTCTTCTTTCATGAGATGTGTCTTCTTTCAGGGGTCATCTTTCAGGTGTCTTCTTTCATGACCCGTGTCTTCTTTCATGAGCTGTGTCTTCTTTCAGGTGTTTTCTTTCATGAGATCTGTCTTCTTCTTTCATGAGGTGTCATCTTTCATCTTTCAGGTGTCTTCTTTCATGACCCGTGTCTTCTTTCATGAGCTGTGTCTTCTTTCAGGTGTTTTCTTTCATGAGCTCTGTCTTCTTTCAGGTGTCTTCTTTCATGGTGTCTTCTTTCATGACCCATGTCTTCTTTCATGAGCTGTGTCTTCTTTTTTCAGGTGTTTTCTTTCATGACCTGTGTCTTCTTTCAGGTGTTTTCTTTCATGAGCTCTGTCTTCTTTCAGGTGTCTTCTTTTTCATGTCATCTTTTCACCCTTTCATGAGTGTCTTCTTTCATGAGCTGTGTCTTCTTTCAGGTGTTTTCTTTCATGAGATGTGTCTTCTTTCAGGTGTCTTCTTTCATGAGCTCTGTCTTCTTTCAGGTGTCTTCTTTCATGAGTCTTCTTTCTCTGTCTTCTTTCAGGTGTCTTCTTTCATGAGATATGTGTTTCTTTCAGTGTTTTCTTTCATGAGCTGTCTTCTTTCCAGTGTCTTCTTTCATGACCCATGTCTTCTTTCATGAGCTGTGTCTTCTTTCAGGTGTTTTCTTTCATGAGCTCTGTCTTCTTTCTTTCTTTCAGGTGTCTTCTTTCATGAGCTGTGTCTTCTTTCATGTTTTCTTTCATGTCTTCTTTCAGGTGTTTTCTTTCATGAGATGTGTCTTCTTTCATGTCTTCTTTCTTTCTTCTTTCAGGTGTTTTTCTTTCATGAGATCTGTCTTCTTTCAGGGTCTTCTTTCATGTCTTCTTTCAGGCTATGTCTTCTTTCATGTTTTTCTTTCATGATCCTGTCTTCTTTCATGACCTGTGTCTTCTTTCATGAGCTGTGTCTTCTTTCAGGTCTTCTTTCAGGTTCTTCTTTCATGACCCTGTGTCTTTTCTTTCAGGTGTTTTCTTTCATGAGATCTGTCTTCTCTTCTTTCAGGTGTTTTCTTTCATGAGGCTGTGTCTTCTTTCAGGTGTTTTCTTTCATGAGATGCTTTCAGGTGTCTTCTTTTTCTTCTTTCGCAGGCTATGTCTTCTTTCAGGTGTTTTCTTTGTGTCTTCTTTCAGGTGTCTTTCTTTCATGACCCGGTGTCTTCTTTCATGTTTCTTTCAGCTATGTCTTCTTTCAGGTGTTTTCTTTCATGTCTTCTTTCATATGTGTCTTCTTTCTTTCAGGGTCATCTTTCTTTCTTTTCATGACCCGTGTCTTCTTTCATGAGCTGTGTCTTCTTTCAGGTGTTTTCTTTCATGAGATCTGTCTTCTTTCAGGTGTCTTCTTTCATGACCCGTGTCTTCTTTCATGGGCTCATTTTCTTTCAGGTGTTTTCTTTCTTCTTTCCACCCGTGTCTTCTTTCATGAGCTGTGTCTTCTTTCAGGTTTTTCTTTCATGAGCTCTGTCTTCTTTCAGGTGTCTTTTTCAGGTGTTTTCTTTCATGAGCTGTGTCTTCTTTCTTTTTCTTTCATGTCATCTTTTTCAGGTGTCTTCTTTCATGACCCGTGTCTTCTTTCATGAGCTGTGTCTTCTTTCAGGTGTTTTCTTTCATGAGCTCTGTCTTCTTTCAGGTGTCTTCTTTCATGACTATGTCTTCTTTCAGGTGTCTTTCTTTCATGAGCTCTGTCTTCTTTCAGGTGTTTTCTTTCATGAGATATGTCTTCTTTCAGGTGTCTTCTTTCATGACCCTGTCTTCTTTCATGGTGTCTTCTTTCATGTTTTTTCTTTCGTGTCTTCTTTCAGGTGTCTTCTTTCATGACCCTTTCAGTGTCTTCTTTCTCAGCTATGTCTTCTTTCTTTCTGTCTTCTTTCAGGTGTCTTCTTTCATGAGATATGTCTTCTTTCAGGTGTTTTTTCTTTCTTTCATGACTTTCTGTCTTCTTCTTTCAGGGGTCATCTTTCAGGTGTCTTCTTTCATGACCTGTGTCTTCTTTCATGTTTTCTTTCATGAGCTCTGTCTTCTTTCAGTGTCTTCTTTCAGGTGTTTTCTTTCATGAGATATGTCTTCTTTCAGGGGTCATCTTTCAGGTGTCTTCTTTTTCAGGTGTTTTCTTTCATGAGCTCTGTTCTTTCAGGTTTCTTTGTGTCTTCTTTCATGAGCTGTGTCTTCTTTCAGGTGTTTTCTTTCATGAGATCTGTCTTCTTTCAGGTGTCTTCTTTCAGGTGTCTTCTTTCATGTCTTCTTTCCACGTCTTCTTTCATGAGTGTGTCTTCTTTCATAGGTGTTCTCTTCTTTGGTTTTCTTTTCATGAGATGCGTCTTTCTTTCAGGTGTCATCTTTCAGGTGTCTTCTTTTCATGACCCTGTCTTCTTTCAAGTTTCTTCTTTCAGCTGTGTCTTCTTTCATGGTGTTTTTTCAGGTTTTTTTTTTTCATGATATGTCTTCTTTTCATGTCTTCTTTCAGACCTGTTTTCTTTCAGGGCTATGTCTTCTTTCAGGTGTTTTCTTTCATGAGATATGTCTTCTGTCTTCTTTTTCATGGTGTGTCTTCTTTCTTTCATCTTTCCCGTGTCTTCTTTCATGAGCTGTGTCTTCTTTCAGGTGTTTTCTTTCAGGTGTTTTCTTTCGTCTTCTTTTTCAGGTGTTTTCTTTCATGAGCTTCTTTCAGGTGTCTTCTTTTCAGGTGTCTTCTTTCATGTTTTCTTTCTTCTTTTCATGAGCTGTGTCTTCTTTCAGGTGTTTTCTTTCATGAGCTCTGTCTTCTTTCAGGTGTTTTCTTTCATGAGCTTCTTTCATGTCTTCTTTCAGGTGTTTTTTCTTTCATGAGATATGTCTTCTTTTTCAGGGGTCTTCTTTCAGACCTGTGTCTTCTTTCATGACCTGTGTCTTCTTTCATGAGCTGTGTCTTCTTTCAGGTGTTTTTCTTTCATGAGCTCTGTCTTCTTTCAGGTGTCTTCTTTCATGACCGTGTCTTCTTTCATGAGCTGTGTCTTCTTTCAGGTGTTTTCTTTTTCATGAGATGTGTCTTCTTTTTCATGTGTTTTCTTTCATGAGATGTTTTCTTTCATGAGATTCTTTCAGGGGTCATCTTTCAGGTGTCTTCTTTCATGACCTGTGTCTTCTTTCATGAGCTGTGTCTTCTTTCAGGTGTTTTTCTTTCATGAGATGCTCTGTCTTCTTTTCAGGTCTTCTTTCAGGTGTGTCTTCTTTCTTTCATGACCTGTCTTCACTGGGTCTTCTTTCATGAGATATGTCTTCTTTCAGGTGTTTTTCTTTCATGAGGTGTGTCTTCTTTTTCAGGTGTCTTCTTTCATGACCCGTGTCTTCTTTCATGAGCTGTGTCTTCTTTCAGGTGTTTTATTTCATGAGATATGTCTTCTTTCAGGTGTCTTCTTTCATGACCTTTCTCTTCTTTCAGGGTGTCTTCTTTCAGGTGTCTTCTTTCATGACCTGTGTCTTTCTTTCATGAGCTTTCAGTGTCTTCTTTCATCAGGTGTTTTCTTTCATGAGCTCTGTCTTTTTTCAGGTGTTTTCTTTCATGAGATGTGTCTTCTTTCAGGGTCATCTTTCAGGTGTCTTCTTTCATGACCTGTCTTTTCTTTCTTCATGAGCTGTGTCTTCTTTCAGGTGTTTTCTTTCATGAGATCTGTCTTCTTTCAGGTGTCTTTTCTTTCATGACCCGTCTTCTTCTTTCATCTTTCAGTGTCTTCTTTCAGGTGTTTTTCTTTCATGAGCTCTGTCTTCTTTCAGGTGTCTTCTTTCATGACCTGTGTCTTCTTTCATGACCCGTTTTCTTTCAGTGTCTTCTTTCAGGTGTTTTCTTTTCATGAGATATGTCTTCTTTCAGGTGTTTTCTTTCATGAGATGTGTTCTTCTTTCAGGGGTCATCTTTCAGGTGTCTTCTTTCATGAGCTGTGTCTTTCTTTCATGAGCTGTGTCTTCTTTCAGGTGTTTTCTTTCATGAGCTCTGTCTTCTTTCAGGTGTCTTCTTTCATGACCGTCTTCTTTCTTTCAGAGTCTATGTCTTTTTTCAGGTGTTTTCTTTCATGAGCTCTGTCTTCTTTCAGGTGTCTTCTTTCACTGTTTTCTTTCATGATATGTCTTCTTTCATGTGTTTTTCTGTGTCTTCTTTTTCAGGTGTTTTTTTCTTTCATGTCTTCTCTGTCTTCTTTCAGGTGTCTTCTTTCATGACCTGTCTTCTTTCAGGTTTTTCTTTCATGAGCTATGTCTTCTTTCAGGTGTTTTCTTTTTTTGTCTTCTTTCTGTCTTCTTTCAGAGTGTCTTCTTTCATGACCCATGTGTCTTCTTTCATGATCTTTCATCTTCTGTGTCTTCTTTCATGTTTTCTTTTCTTTCATGAGCTTCTTTCTTCTTTCAGGTGTCTTCTTTCATGACCCGTGTCTTCTTTCATGAGCTTCTTTCATGTGTCTTCTTTCAGGTGTTTTCTTTCATGAGCTCTGTCTTCTTTCAGGTGTCATCTCTTCAGGTGTTTTCTTTCATGAGCTCTGTCTTCTTCTTTTTCAGGTGTTTTCTTTCATGAGATGTGTCTTCTTTCAGGGGTCATCTTTCAGGTGTCTTCTTTCATGACCCGTGTCTTCTTTTCATGTCTTCTTTTCATGAGCTATGTCTTCTTTTTCAGGTGTTTTTCTTTTCATGAGCTCTGTCTTCTTTCAGGTGTCTTCTTTCATGACCCGTGTCTTCTTTCATGTCTTCTTTCAGTGTTTTTCTTCTTTTTTCTTTCATGAGATGTGTCTTCTTTCAGGGTGTGTTTTCTTTCATGAGATGTGTCTTCTTTCAGGGTGTCATCTTTCAGGTGTTTTCTTTCATGACCTGTGTGTCTTCTTTCATGAGCTGTGTCTTCTTTCAGGTGTTTTCTTTTTCTTTCATGAGCTCTGTCTTCTTTCAGGTTTTCATGAGATGTGTCTTCTTTCATGTCATCTTTTCAGGTGTCTTCTTTCATGAGCTGTGTCTTCTTTCATGAGCTGTGTCTTCTTTCATGGTGTTTTCTTTCATGAGATCTGTCTTCTTTCAGGTGTCTTCTTTCATGACCCGTGTCTTCTTTCATGAGCTGTGTCTTCTTTCAGGTGTTTTCTTTCATGAGATATGTCTTCTTTTCAGGTGTCTTCTTTCATGACCCGTGTCTTCTTTCAAGGTGTCATCTTTCTTCTTTCAGGTGTCTTCTTTCATGAGCCTCTTCTTCATGTCTTTTCTTTCATGACCTGTGTCTTCTTTCAGTGTTTTTCTTTCATGTGTTTTCTTTCTGTCTGTCTTTTTCAGGTGTTTTCTTTCATGAGATGTGTCTTCTTTCAGGGTCATCTTTCAGGTGTCTTCTTTCATGACCTGTGTGTCTTCTTTCATGAGCTGTGTCTTCTTTCAGGTGTTTTTTTTCTTTCATGAGGCTCTGTCTTCTTTCAGGTGTCTTCTTTCATGACCCGTGTCTTCTTTCATGAGCTATGTCTTCTTTCAGGTGTTTTCTTTCATGAGCTCTGTCTTCTTTCAGGTGTCTTCTTTCATGACCCGTGTCTTCTTTCATGAGCTGTGTCTTCTTTCAGGTGTTTTCTTTCATGAGATATGTCTTCTTTCAGGTGTTTTCTTTCATGAGATGTGTCTTCTTTCAGGGGTCATCTTTCAGGTGTCTTCTTTCATGACCTGTGTCTTCTTTCATGAGCTGTGTCTTCTTTCAGGTGTTTTCTTTCATGAGCTCTGTCTTCTTTCAGGTGTCTTCTTTCATGACCCGTGTCTTCTTTCATGAGCTATGTCTTCTTTCAGGTGTTTTTTCATTCTTTCATGAGCTGTGTCTTCTTTCAGGTGTCTTCTTTCATGACTCTGTCTTCTTTCATGACCAGTCTTCTTTCATGACCCGTGTCTTCTTTCATGGTATGTTTTTTCAGGTGTTTTCTTTCATGAGCTCTGTCTTCTTTTTCAGGTGTCTTCTTTCATGACCCGTGTCTTGTTTCATGAGCTTTTCTTCTTTGTGTTTTTCTTTCATGTCTGTCTTCTTTCAGGTGTTTTCTTTCATGAGCTGTGTCTTCTTTCTTCTTTTTCAGGTGTCTTCTTTCATGACCTGTGTCTTCTTTCATGAGCTGTGTCTTCTTTCAGGTGTTTTCTTTCATGAGCTCTGTCTTCTTTCAGGTGTCTTCTTTCATGACCCGTGTCTTCTTTCATGAGCTATGTCTTCTTTCAGGTGTTTTCTTTCATGAGCTCTGTCTTCTTTCAGGTGTCTTCTTTCATGACCCGTGTCTTCTTTCATGAGCTGTGTCTTCTTTCAGGTGTTTTCTTTCATGAGATATGTCTTCTTTCAGGTGTTTTCTTTCATGAGATGTGTCTTCTTTCAGGGGTCATCTTTCAGGTGTCTTCTTTCATGACCTGTGTGTCTTCTTTCATGAGCTGTGTCTTCTTTCAGGTTTTTTTTCTTTCATGAGCTCTGTCTTCTTTCAGGTGTCTTCTTTCATGACCCGTGTCTTCTTTCATGAGCTATGTCTTCTTTCAGGTGTTTTCTTTCATGAGCTCTGGCTCTGTCTTCTTTCAGGTGTCTTCTTTCATGACCCGTGTCTTCTTTCATGGGCTGTGTCTTCTTTCAGGTGTTTTCTTTCATGAGCTCTGTTTTCTTTCAGGTGTCTTCTTTCAGGTGTTTTTCTTTCACCCGTGTCTTCTTTCATGAGCTATGTCTTCTTTCAGGTGTTTTGTTTTCTTTCATGAGCTCTGTCTTCTTTCAGGTGTCTTCTTTCATGACCCGTGTCTTCTTTCATGAGCTGTGTCTTCTTTCAGGTGTTTTCTTTCATGAGCTCTGTCTTCTTTCAGGTGTCTTCTTTCATGACCCGTGTCTTCTTTCATGAGCTGTGTCTTCTTTCAGGTGTTTTCTTTCATGAGCTCTGTCTTCTTTTTCAGGTGTCTTCTTTCATGACCCGTGTCTTCAGGCTTTCATTCATGCTATGTCTTCTTTCAGGTGTTTTCTTTCATGACCCGTGTCTTCTTTCATGAGCTGTGTCTTCTTTCAGGTGTTTTCTTTCATGAGCTCTGTCTTCTTTCAGGTGTCTTCTTTCATGACCCGTGTCTTCTTTCATGAGCTGTGTCTTCTTTCAGGTGTTTTCTTTCATGAGCTTTCTATTATTTTCATTTCTTCTTTCAGGTGTCTTCTTTCATGACCCAGGTGTGTCTTCTTTTCATGAGTCTTCTTTTTCATGTCTTCTTTTCAGTCTTTCTGTGTTTTTTTCTTTCATGAGCTCTGTCTTCTTTCTTTCAGGTGTCTTCTTTCATGACCCGTGTCTTCTTTCATGAGTCTTTCATGAGCTATGTCTTTTTCAGGTGTTTTCTTTCATGACCTGTGTCTTCTTTCTTCTTTCAGGTGTTTTTTCTTTCATGAGATGTGTCTTCTTTCAGGGGTCATCTTTCAGGTGTCTTCTTTCATGACCTGTGTCTTCTTTCATGACCTGTGTCTTCTTTCAGGTGTTTTCTTTCATGAGCTCTGTCTTCTTTCAGGTGTCTTCTTTCATGAGATATGTCTTCTTTCAGGTGTCTTCTTTCATGAGATATGTCTTCTTTCATGTGTTTTCTTTCATGAGCTCTGTCTTCTTTCAGGTGTCTTCTTTCATGACCCGTGTCTTCTTTCATGAGCTATGTCTTCTTTCAGGTGTTTTCTTTCATGACCCGTGTCTTCTTTCATGACCCGTGTCTTCTTTCATGAGCTGTGTCTTCTTTCAGGTGTTTTCTTTCATGAGCTCTGTCTTCTTTCAGGTGTCTTCTTTCATGACCCGTGTCTTCTTTCATGAGCTATGTCTTCTTTCAGGTGTTTTCTTTCATGACCCGTGTCTTCTTTCATGAGCTGTGTCTTCTTTAAGGTGTTTTCTTTCATGAGCTCTGTCTTCTTTCAGGTGTCTTCTTTCATGACCCGTGTCTTCTTTCATGAGCTGTGTCTTCTTTCAGGTGTTTTCTTTCATGAGCTCTGTCTTCTTTCAGGTGTCTTCTTTCATGACCCGTGTCTTCTTTCATGAGCTATGTCTTTTTCAGGTGTTTTCTTTTTTTATGAGCTCTGTCTTCTTTCAGGTGTCTTCTTTCATGACCCGTGTCTTCTTTCATGAGCTGTGTCTTCTTTCAGGTGTTTTCTTTCATGAGATATGTCTTCTTTTCAGGTGTTTTTTTCATGAGATGTGTCTTCTTTCAGGGTCATCTTTCAGGTGTCTTCTTTCATGACCTGTGTCTTCTTTCATGAGCTGTGTCTTCTTTCAGGTGTTTTCTTTTCATTTCATGAGCTCTGTCTTCTTTCAAGTGTCTTCTTTCATGACCCCGTGTCTTCTTTCATGAGCTGTCTTCTTTCAGGTGTTTTTCTTTTCTTGAGCTCTGTCTTCTTTCAGGTGTTTTCTTTCATGAGATGTGTCTTCTTTCAGGGGTCATCTTTTCAGGTGTCTTCTTTCATGACCTGTGTCTTCTTTCATGAGCTGTGTCTTCTTTCAGGTGTTTTCTTTCATGAGCTCTGTCTTCTTTCATGTGTCTTCTTTCATGAGATATGTCTTCTTTCAGGTGTCTTCTTTCATGAGATATGTCTTCTTTCAGGTGTTTTCTTTCATGAGCTCTGTCTTCTTTCAGGTGTCATCTTTCAGGTGTCTTCTTTCATGACCCGTGTCTTTTTCATGTATCTTCTTTCATGAGCTGTGTTTTCTTTCAGGTGTCTTATTCCAGGTGTCTTCTTTCATGCTGTTGGGGATAGCTCTCTACGACTTCCCGTGACTTGTAGTTTGAAGCAACTTTTGAATGTTTACTATCTCTAGCTTTCCTTGTTCGGCCATTGACTCACAAAGGCTCGTTAGCTGATTGCACAAAAAATACAAAATGGAGTTAGCCAAGGAAGCGTTTTCTTTCGCGATTTATTTAACCTATTCAGAGAAACGTCCGTAAAAGTACTGACACTTGCTGTTTATCTCTTTCTCACCTTCCCTCAAATCGAATACCCGAGATCGAATTTCAGTCGGGTTCGTTACATTAATTTCAGCATGCTACTAGATTCGCATGTAGGTCTCGCCATTTTACTTTTGAATTAGCTAGCTGCAAACGCCAGTTCCACTATAACAGTTTCATTTCTCGCACTTCTCACCTGTGGAAATCCTTACAGATTTCTTGCCTCCCCGATAACTACAATCTTCAAACTTATTCTGTCTTCTTGAACCCTGCTCCTTCTTTCTTCTTTCTTCATTTTTCCCCTCTAAAGTCTTCTCATTCTGTTTCACAGTCTGTAACCTCCCCACCTCCGCGTCTTATTGTCATTATCACCTTGCTTGGAGTGAAACGTTTGAAAAAAGAAACACTCTTCCTTGAGTTGCTATGAAATCCCTTTCTTGGGTGAAGATTAGTAAAAAAAAAAAAAAAAACATATTTAAAGATAATTTATTTCCAATCGATTTTTACAGTATTATTATAGAAGTACCTTTAAAGATTTACTCAGTGTGCCATGCGTGATACACGCGTAGGCGATCATGTATCTTTAGATACATGACTGACGAGGCAGATTTTTTCCTGCAGTAGGTTGCCATTTCTTTCTGCGCTAGACCAGTTGCTATCCAAGGCTATAGAACCCAGTCTGTCCTGCTATTTATCCATAGCTGGTGGGAGAAGAAAAAGAGGATTCATAACTTTCCCGAGTGGATTAGCACGTAAGTGAATGTAATGGATTCGACTGGAATTCGAACTCGGCTCACTCCATTACCCCAGCATGCCTCCTTTTAAGAGTTACGGTCATTTTATGAGTCAATCAGTTATGTGCCATGCATTAGGTGATGCAGCACTAACGAGGCAGATTTTTTTCCTGCAATAGACTGCGGTAGACCCACTGTTAAATAAAACAAAAGACACAAAAATAAAGCAAAGAAACGTTATGAAATATTAAAGCCTTCATCTACGATTAATGATCAACATAGGATATTTTTCAGCGAAGGATATCGATTCGAAATATTGGATTTCTATGGTCACATCAATAGTCAAGTGATCGTTATTTTTGCATGGGAGATAAATACGAGTAAATACTTCAGATATGTTTCAGTTTTAGGGACCAGGAACGAACATATTGCATACACACAAATGAACACAGTTACACATAGAGCAATAGGCACACAGTCACACGCATAGATCCACATATATCAGCTCATCCCATAAGTTCTGTCCGAATTTTGAATAAAGAAAACAAATGACCAAATCTTACATTTAATTACAGATTCAATCAACAATGTATTTTCTCTGATTATCTATGACTTCCTTCCATCTATTAACAAGCTTACTAATTCCATTACTGTAAAATTCTTTTGACTTTGATTCGAAGAACTCACAAATGTCAGTTTTAACCTGTTCCTGTCTTACAAAAGCTGTTTCTTTCAAATGATTCTGTAAGCTACGAAACAAATGGTAGTCTGAAGGAGCAAGATCGGGAGAATAAGGTGGATGAGGAATTTTCTCCCAACTAAGTTCTTCAATCTTTTGTGACGTGATTCTTGCTGTGTGGAGTCGTGCATTGTCCTGATGAAACATCACCCCTTTTCGATTCACTAGAGCTGGTCTTTTTTCCTCAAAGCTTGGTTCAAACGCTCTAATTGCTGACAGTATATTTGAGCATTAATTGTTGCATTAGGTGGTAAGAATTCAAACTGGATTATTCCTTGGCGATCCCACCAGATTGAAAGAAGAACATTTTGCCTATGAAGTTCCCTTTTAGGCTGTGGCTGGGGTCCTTCCTCTTTACCAAGCCACTGTCTACGGCGCTTAACATTTCGATAAAGATCCATTTTTCTTCGCCAGTCACAAGTCTATCCAAAAAAGGTGAAACAAGTTGGTGAGAATGGAGAGAAGAGCAGATGTCAACTCGGGATTTGAGGTTGTTTTCAGACAATTCATAAGGCATCCATTTTCCAAGTTTAGGAACTTTTCCAAGTTGTTGAAGATGACGATGAACAGTTGTATGGTTTGAACTGAGAACCACTGCCAATTCCTCAACTGATAAAGCAGGATTTTCTTCAAGGGCTGCTTCAAGAAGCTTTTCATCAAACTCAACTGGACGTCTGGTTCGATCTTCATCTTCAAGGGTGAAATTTCCACCTCTGAATTTTAAAAACCATCTTCTGCAAGTTCTTTCATTCCCACATTCCTCTCCATAAACTGAGTGAATGTTTCTGGCCGCTTCGGCTGCTGAGTTTCGTTTCTTGAACTCATAAAGCATTATGTGCCTCAAATGATTCTTGGGTACTTCCATGTTAGCAGGGTTTTAATCAAACAAAATTTAGTTTTATTGTTCTCTTAAATAAAATTTGATCAGTTTAAATGCATCTAAACATAAAAATAATGTTCAGCTCCATTAGACATTATAAAATACTCTTTAAATTTCGTTCATTTTAAAAAAGGTAAAATTCGGACAGAACTTATGGGATGACCTGATATATAATAAATGGTGTTACATTTAGACAGATTATATATAAGGGTGTTTCATTAAGGCGGATCAAAGTCAGCATTAAATAAATCAGTGTTATTGGTGAAAATTCATTTATTTCTCTATTGAATCATGTTATTTATGTTATAGCAATTATGTGTGAAAAATAATACTGCCAAAATATAACCAAATCTGAATAAAAAAAAGAAAAAAACATTAGACACTTAAATTTAATTCACATTTAAAATCGTTTCAAGTTATTGGAACGCCCTTTATACGAGCGTGGAAGTAGGATTGGCCCTCATTTATAGTGATCGAAGGTTCAAAATAAAACATTCGACGGTAGCCATTGATACATTTTTTATTTCAATAAAAAAGGAATATCCCACATTAGCTAAAAAGGTTATATCAGTTGTATTGTGAATTAGGTTTCACAACACTAAATAACATCAAAAATAAGAAGCGAGAAAGACTACACTCAACCGGAGAAGAAAAGTGGATCTTCTTAGCGCTCAATTGACCAAACATTGAAGAAATTCCGAAAAAACACCAGGCTCAGGTTTCACACTAATTAATCTGTACAGATAATTAAATAGAAACATTGAAATAAAGTAAGCTCATTTTTATGTGTTTATTTTTTAAATCTGTTTTATTTCATAACATGTAAATTTAAAAATTTTGATAAGTGTGCCTAATATTTTTATTTTCTCATCGGTAAGCTGTTGCTTAAAAAGGTTGAGAAACATTGCCTTAACCCTATCCCTGTCGTGATATTTTCATTTGACCTTAGATGTGCCGTTACTTTAAAAGGTTGAGAACCACTGCTCTATATTAAGGTACAAAAATCAAAGTTTTCTAAAATGTTTTGGTAAATTTGCGAGACCTTTGTTTCAAGCGATTATTTCTTTGAATGGTTGTATGATAAAAGTGTTTAGATATTAAAAAAAATTAACTGCAACGCCAAATATTAGAATGTACATTTTGCCTTCAAAATATACAGAAATGCATTGTGTATACATGGAAGTAAACTACGTTGACACTTTTAAATCACTTATTTTGTATTATTTAAAATAAATTTAAACTTATAAAAGGTGTTCCAATAACTTGGACAGATTTTAAATGTGAATTAAGTTTAAGCGTCTAATAATTTTTTTTCTTTTTCTTTCGGATGTAACAACTTAAGTCTTTGGCAAATTCACCCATGGAAAGATTAACAAACAAGCAACGCGTTAATATATATAGACTTAAGTTGTTACATCTGAAAGAAAAAGAAAAAAAAAATATATATATATATATATATATATATATATATATATATATATATATATATATATATATATACATATATATATATATATATATATATATATATATATATATATATATATATATATATATATACATATATATATATATATATATATATATATATATATATATATATATATATATATATATATATATATATATATATATATATATATATATATATATATATATATATATATATATATATATATATATATATATATATATATATATTTATGGACTTCTGTCGGTTTCTATATGAGGATCTGCCAGCTTATTGATTCAGTTATGAAAGTTTATGCGATAATCTTAAGTGGCATTTAGGACCCGCTAGTGATTTACAAAGAAGGCCACATTTGAGCAGGTGTGAGAATTGCGAGATGAGATATATATATATATATATATATATATATATATATATATATATATATATATATATATATATATATATATATATATATATATATATGATTTAATTCCTGGACAGGATTTTCTCAAGATATATATATTTAGAACAGTAAACCCATATATATTCAGGGGTTGCTCGGTGACGATGGTGTATACACTTTTGGTTATTTTGTTAGTGAATGTAAGCAGTCCGTTTCATCCTCCATTGAGTTGTTAAAGTCAGGACAGCTGAGAGATCAGCTTGCAGAGTTTGATTTTTGGATGTGGACCCATCATCAATCGTTGTATCATCTGCATAGATATTCATAAGTGATCATAGTATGCTCTTAGATTATTAATCAAAAAATAAACGAGAAGAGGGTTGGATCGAGAAGCGACCATTTCGGGACGTCTTTATCGATCTCAGGGGCCTCAGAGGATTGGGCGTTAACAACTACTTCAATGGATCTACCTGTTAGGAAAGACTTGAGAAAACTGTTGAGTTTGAGAAGCAAATCGCTATGTCAGGCCTTCGATATATCTAAT